CACAAAAAACATTATGCCCAGACTTGCTTTTCAGCAAAAATAATAAAAATTTCTTTGCAAACAAATTATGAAATAATGATTTACCTTGTGTCACGCAATGAGCCAAAATCAAAATCAGTCCAAGTCTGTACGCCAGCCAGGTATTTAAAGTCATGGATGCAGCACAGTGTTGATGAATGATACGTATTTCTCCTATACCCAATAATCCACTGACAAAAATGAGCAAGAATAACAACAAAATGGTACAAAAAATCCACCAGCTCGTCTCTCCTCACTTCAGTGTCTGTGAACTGTGAAATTTGCGGCGTGTGTGCTGTGTCCAGTGAGAGAATGAGCTATGCGAGATCCAAGCGGGCAGTCAGCCACGGGGGCGAAGAGGTGAGGGGGAGGAAGACCAAGCAGTCACAGCATAAAATAAATGAACATTTTCCTCAGTGGTCTTCTCACGTCTCCAACGTGATGAAGAAAGCGAGCCCTCTCATCTCTTTTCACTTCTTGATGTGGACGAGAGAGAGCAGAGAGAAAGAGCAGAGAAAGAGAGGAGGAAAGGGGGGGTCGGGGGTGGGTGTACCATTTTATCACATCAGTGTTTAATTGTCTTTTTCCAGTCAAGGCAAACACATCAGTCAGGAGGATTAATTCTTTATTGATAATCCATTGCTTCTAATAATAGCCCTATCACAATGTATTAAAAGCCCTTCTTCTAAATTGGATGGCACAGCAGGAGATGGGTTGTGTTTGTCAGAGTGCATGACAGTGAAAGACCTGTACACACTTTCAGCTGTGTATCACTTGTGGAGCACACTGGGGAGAAAATTCTATCTAATCAAGAATTAAAGAGTAAATCCTTTCTTAGAGACTGTAATGCCAATGGATAAGGCAGGCTTAGTTTGTGTTAAGCTCTTATTCCCTCCCCACCCAAAGCAACATATGGTCCGTGCCTGATAGATGGCTGCCAATGAGTGCTGTCAGTCATATCAAAACATTCTCGTTCCACATTCTTCCACATATGCTTTTGGAAACGCTGGGCCCTGCTGCTCATTTACATACACAATGCCTAATCATGTCCTACAGCTCGTGTGTGAGGCTTCAGGAGGGTGCATGCATGTGCCTCTTTGCATTTGTAAGTGTGCAGCTGTGTGTGACTGGCTTCTTCTCCTAGTACTTTTCTACATGAATCATTGTTGGTCTGTGTGGGTGGGTATTTATCGCATTGTGGGGATGAAAATCTGTACACACTCAATTTGTGAGGGACTACCTTCCTTATGAGGACAAAAATATCAATTAAATTATTTTAAGTTAAGGAAGGTGTTGATATACAGTCTGTGACTGAAGTAGATTAAGATCAGGGTTTATGTTGAGGTTAGGCAAATGGTAGCTATGGTTAAGCTTAGGATCATTCTAGGAAATGAATGTAATGTCCGCATAAGACATTTAAACCCGTTGTGTGTGTCTGTGCAAGAGAAAGGCCAGTGAGTGTATGAAGAAAAAAGTAGTTTTATGCAAGTGCACTGGAGGTGAAAGTGAAAAGGTGCTTGAGGTGTGTTGACTAAGGACAAAATAGTCTGGAAAAAGTTAAGAGAACAAAAGACCATCACAATATCATACAGAATAAAATATAACACAGTACCATTTAAGGAGAGAGAATTATATATGTGGTGGACATCGCAATACCAAGCGATGGTAATATCAGGAAAAAGGAACACGAGAAACTAAAAAAATACCAGGGGCTCAAAGAGGAGCTGGAGAAAGCCTGGAAAGTGAAGGCATCAGTGGTGCCTGTGGTGATCAGAGCACTCGGGGCTGTAACCCCCAAACTGGAAGAGTGGCTACAACAGATACCAGGAAAAACAATAGACATCTCAGTACAGAAAAGTGCAGTACTGGGAACAGTAAAGATACTGTGCAGAACTCTCAGGCTCCCAGGCCTCTGCTGGATGAGGGCAAGAGAGACCAAACACCGCGAAAGTCCTTGTAAAAACCCAATCGTAACATACCCAATGACCTTTTCTCTCTCCTCCTCAGCTCAGAAACCATTTAATATTCTGCTGAGACTTGAGCCACACAAAAAGGAAAGGCACAGATGCAGCTGAAGGCGAGGACATTCTGTATAATGGCCTAATGATGAAAGTGAGTCTTACCCAAGCTGCTTCTAACTTATCTAGACACACAATAGCTGGCTTAAATTCTCTTGAAATCCCCTTTGCTGGCCAGTGCTGTCAAGTATGGTGTGACAGGAACAAGAAAAGTGAAGGCTACATGCTTTATACATTTTTGATGAAAATGCATTTACACACCAAATGGAAAGCTTTGGATATACAGCAAAGTGATCAACAGATTTTCTCATCATGGCTAATGTTAGCATTGGGAATTCAAGGAAGTGTGTACTGTAGACTGCAGCTTTATTTAATTTATTTATTTGTGTGTTTTCGTTTCTGCCTTTTTTCATTTGGATCAGTCTTTTCTAGGAACAGTGAACCAGTGATGATGATAAGAGACTGATGACAGAGGCATGTGGTCAGTTTCATGCATATCAACAGTAATGAGCTAGTTAACATCTGAGGAAAAGCCCAAAAGGCTAGGTGCATTCAACTTGTGAAAAAAGCTGAAGAAAACTTAAAAGGCCATCAGTGATTTGTATTAAGTAAAGGCTGGCGGGTCTCCCACTTAATGAGCTACAATCCAATTGTGTGTGACCAAAAGTCACAAGCACATTCTTCAGGCCATAGTAGTGAATGAAAGCGTGCATTCTATATGAGCTGATATCAGATGCTTTAATAACCTTACATTTTGCTTGGCTGGTTAAGACTCCAGGGGTTGCTTTCATTTCTCCTTGGGGACACTTTTGTGCTTTTTATGATACATACCCTGTTGGTAATTTTCTGACCCATGCTATGTGATGTGCTTTTTCAGTTCATTCTGTATGTTCAGTGAAAGTTGTAACTGAACATTTGGACTGAGAAGCATCAGACTTATGTAGCAACACAAAATGAGCTCTTCTGAGTGCTGCTGTTTATTCATTTATGGCTAAAAAATCTGTCTTCATACACTCAACATTTACATGCAATGAAGGGATGGACCTATAGCTTTGTATCTTCTCTCCCCTGCATGTTAAGGAACACTCTAATCTCAAACCCTGTATTTTGTGCATGGCTGCCCTTTTGCCCAGGAGCCGTGAGGTGATGCCCCTTTTGCCATCTGTTGCAGTCACATGTGGTGGACCACAGCATTAACCATGTACTGCCTCATGTGCTGATCTGAGACTTACCTTTGTCAGGTTCTCTTCCTCTGAAACATTGTTAATCCAGGCGTGATTGGACCTGTTGACTATTTCCCCTGGATATTGATTTATTGACAGATTCAATGCAACTAATTACGACATACTTCTCTGTGTTCACACATCATCAGACATTTTTTGAGGTGCTGCTGAATAAACAAATAATTTGAAATCATTAGCTAGTTTAGTATGTTTTAGGAAATAGTTTTAAATATTTTATGATACATATATTCATAAATACCCAAAGATAGTATTTCCACTGATGCGGCCATTTCACAAGACTGTTATCAGTTTGCTGATTAATATGTGGATGTACAGAGGTTGACATATTTAAACCATCTTTTAAAGCTGGTACTTGGAGACTTGGTAGCCTTGAATCCTGCGCTGCTTTTAATAATTACATTGACATGGGCATGCACCTCAGTGAAATGTTAACCAGTATCCCTTTTAAAGGCTTTACAAAACATCAGCACAATAATCTTGTAATTTAAACATACCCCCTCAATCTGTGAGGCTTAACAGCAGCATCTGCTACAGACACACTCAGTCAGTCAGTCAGTCAGTCAGTCAGCGCCTTAATATAAATATCCAACCTGATGACATCTGCTACACCATCATTACCACCTAGCTGAAAAAAAGAAAACAGTGACATTTTACTCTACTGACAAATTACATTATGGATATATTTTCTTCATTTACTTAATGTAAAACAGAACGACATAAATCTTACATATTTTAAGGTATACAAAGGTATTCAAGGTATTAAAATTATCATCAATGAAACTTGACTGGCTTTAAAATGGTGATTTTATTGGAATAAATATGTATTCAGAACTTGGATGGCCATTGTTTCATGGGAAAATGTAATCACATTATGCTACCGCCTCACATTAATGCTGATTTACACAGACAGAGGCATTAAAAGCTCTTCCTTATGAATAATAAACTGGGCCTTGAAACATTAAAGCTGAAACATGTTTCCAAGATGAGGTTGTTGTTCAGGCAGTGCCATGAGCATTGGAGAATGACCTATAACTTCAGCTTTTTTTATTTAAATGCCAGACTCAAAACACTAAAACAGCCCTCGGGAAAGCTTCATCATTTAATCCCTACTCTATCACTAAATCACCTTGGAGAATTGAATACACCTTGGACTGCACTTGTGACTTGCTGTCCCTCTTACCTGTAATTATAAGTCAGAGCCCCAAGCGTTATACTCATTGGTCCACTGTACAGGATCTGAATAGTGTTGGCTGGCGGCTGTTACTATGTTGATTTATTTACTGTAGCTGTTACCATGGTGTTGATTTATTATTGTAGGTCTATGCCAGTTCAGACTTATAACAGCAGCATTAAAGCAATCATTTTATATATTTTCCTTCAAATGATTTGGGCTCAAACATTTTGACTGCAACTGGATTCTAATTAGGTTAAATGCATTAGGTCTATTATGTTTGCAAATATATGTAACAATGAGTTAATAAAATTAACTATGAAATTTGGGGATTTGAGCGAAATTGGATTTGTTTATCATGTTTTTATGAGAGCACAAGTAGCTTTACCAAATGGGCTATTGTCTAAAACCCATACGCCTACCATAGCATAATATAAGTTATTGTTCCCAAAAGTTCCAAAAAAGATGGAGCCACATCCATGGATCACACTGATACAGCCGAGAATCCGTTTTCACCAACAGGGGTCAGTGTGAGAGACCCGTAGCTGATGACAGAGGAAGGAAGAAAACTACGAAGAAGTCTACACGTGTTTTTCTAACATGTCTGCCCTCTCTGTTATTTTGTGTTAAATAGACCTGTAATCTTTTTTATTCAGTACTCGTTTTATACGCCTTTACGCTTAGATCCGGAGAGTAAAAAGCACAAGGGAAAATGGGCCAGAGAAAGAAGAAACTAACGAAGAAAAAAAGACACAACAACAATAAGGAGATGGAAGACTCTGACAGTGGAGATTTTGAACTGGCAGCAGAAATAAAAGACGATGACACGGTAAAAACGGCATTTATTACCATATACCATCTTACACAGGGTATAATCTTTGATTGGTGTAAATCACGGCCACAATAATCTAGGTGGTGGTATCACAGTGCATTCTCAATCGGCTACACGAGGGTATAGCTCAGAGCAAATGACTGCCCATTAAGAGTTACCCCTTTAAAATACCATCGCCCCGTGTTTTAGATAAGAAAAAAGACATGCTCATGTACACATGTTATTAATTATTTGTGTATGTGAGGTAGCAAAAACAATGTTTCTCTGGACACTGAACCAACGCATAATCAGGGTTACTCAATCTTTACATTGTCTCAATATCTGTGAAACTCCTCAGTCACAGTAGTGTACAATTTCATTGCATCAGTAGTTTCTGTACATTGTCTGTAACAGTGGTTAGTATCTTCTTGTTAATTTTCCCATAGCCGGGGAGAAAACTTCAGAGGTTCCCAACATCAGACTGTCTATCAGATGTTGAGCCTGATACCAGGGAGATGGTCCGGGCACAAAACAAGAAGAAGAAGAAATCTGGAGGATTTCAGTCCATGGGTGAGGGAGATGTTCTGAGGTGACATAATGCATCTTAACCTGTGAGAGAAAATGTATTAATGTTCAAACATTTTTTCAGGACTTAGTTACCCAGTATATAAGGGTGTTATGAAGAAGGGATACAAAGTCCCTACTCCAATACAAAGAAAAGTAAGCCCTGATATTTTACAATAATAAAACATATCAACTTTATCTTTAACGTAACCATGTCTTCTGCTTGCCAGACTATCCCAGTCATTTTGGATGGCAAAGATGTTGTTGCTATGGCCAGGACAGGTAGCGGCAAAACTGCTGCCTTTCTCATTCCTATGTTTGAGAAACTGAAGGCACCTCAGGCCAAGACTGGTGCAAGGGCCCTCATTCTGTCTCCAACCAGAGAACTGGCACTACAGACCATGAAGTTCACTAAAGAGGTCACATATACAGTTCAAAATGCAGCTGTCTATTTTAATTTTAAAATATTTTTTTTTATTGATTTGCACTAACTGATTCTTTACATTTCATGTTTACAGTTAGGAAAGTTCACAGGACTAAAAACTGCTTTGATCCTTGGTGGAGATAGGTATGTGCCTCCTTACTTATGTTTCCAGTCTACATTGTACTGCTGTTGTTTCAAACAATATTCATGTATTTTACAGTATGGATGACCAATTTGCTGCCCTGCATGAAAACCCTGACATGTGAGTATGACAGAACTGAAATATGGCTGCTGTTTAATGGTTTTAAACAATAATACTGTTTATTTCTTTTGACAGAATTATTGGTACACCTGGTCGTCTCATGCACGTTGCGAAAGACATGAATCTCAAGTTACACAGTGTGGAATATATAGTTTTTGATGAGGCAGACAGGTACAAAGCGACAAGTCAGTTTGTGTTAGATTGTGCTTGTACAATGTGACTCTGTAAAAGTAATTTGGTACCTGCAGGTTATTTGAAATGGGTTTTGCTGATCAGCTTCAAGAAATAATACAGAGACTCCCAGACACTAGACAAACTCTACTGTTTTCTGCCACTCTTCCAAAACTGTTGGTGGAGTTTGCCAGAGCTGGTGAGTGTCCACATTGCACATTATTCAATTTATTAATAGGCTTCTATAAAATATTATATTTTTAAATGCATATATTTATTTTTATTTACATAGGGCTCACTGAACCAGTGCTTATTCGCTTAGATGTAGACTCCAAGCTTAGTGACCTGATAAAGGTAAGAAAAAGGTATAAAATTATGTTTTCCAATTTGTGACCATTGTCTGAAAATGTTCTATGTCTTTTTTTGTCAGCTTTCTTTCTTCCATTGCCGTGCCGATGACAAGCCTGCCCTTTTACTTCACCTTCTGAGAAATGTTGTTAAGCCTCAAGAGCAAACTGTGGTTTTTGCAGCCACCAAACATCATGTAGAGTACCTTAAAGAGGTGATTCTTAAGACGACAAAGAAAATGCACTCCTCCTCTTTGTAGTTATTAACTTTGTGAATTATTATTTTTAGCTGCTGTCCTCTGAGGGAATAGAATGTGCCTACATATACAGTGCTCTTGACCAGACGGCCAGAAAGATAAACATAGGGAAGTTTGTACATAGGAAAGCAATGGTACTTCTTGTCACAGATGTGGCTGCTCGTGGTATAGACATCCCCCTGCTGGACAATGTCATCAACTACAACTTTCCCTCTAAAGCCAAGCTCTTCTTGCACAGAGTTGGTCTGTAACTTGCACTTATTACTCTGGAAAAGTAAGATTTTTTTTTTTTTAATGTGTGAACTTTTTCTCTGCAGGTAGAGTTGGCCGTGCTGGTCGCAGTGGCACAACTTACAGTATCATTTGTCCCGATGAGATGCCGTATGTTTATGACCTTCACCTGTTTCTGGGGAGACCTGTGCAGTTAGCCACACCTGAACACTCTCAGGGTATGTTTTATTTCAGATTTACAATTCACAATTAAATATAAATAATATTACAATAGCCACTCTTGAATAGATGCAGATGGTGTGCTTGGACGTGTACCTCAGAACATACTGGATGATGAAAGTGCTCATTTAATTACTTCCCATGAAAATTCTCTGGAATTGCAAAACCTTCATAGAGTGTCCGAGAATGCCTACAAGCAGTACCTCAAGTCCCGCCCAAATCCTTCACCAGAGTCAGTTAGGCGTGTGAAAGGCATTGACTTGTCTTGCATGGCAGTTCACCCATTACTTAGTAAGTTTCATGTGAGAACAGTTCATTGAGAAAAATTGTTGAACTATTTTCATACTGTGTAACTTGCCTAATTTTAGGTTCTGGTCTGGAGAAGATGGAGCTTGAACGTCTTCAAATTGTTGACGCAATTAAGAGCTACAAATCCAAATCTGTAAATCACTGCTGTTCAGATTTTTCATGATGAAAGGAGTCCCTAAACTAAAAAGAATTTAATTTTTTTTTCTTTTCTTCTATCGCTTTCTATTTGTTTAGACAATTTTTGAGATAAATTCAAACAGTAAAACCTCTGCCAGTGAAGTAATGCGAGCAAAGCGCTGCAAAGATGACAGCCTTGTCAACAAGTTCAGCAAGCGTAAAGAGACTGTTGAAAGTGAATCTCTGCCACAACTACATCAGAAAACCACAGGTGATGATGACTCCATGAAGACTGAAGACATGGAAGTAGAAAATATTGAGGTCAGAAACATATATAGTTCTTGCATAAATGTATAACAATAAAATAGTAAATATAATTTGATCATTTAACATTTGTCTTCCAGGGGTTGTTTTCAGATGTTGTTGGTGGAAGGAAAAGATCACACGAACATGATACTGAGGGAAAAACAAAAAACAAAAAAAGTAGATCAACAGGCAGAGATGACGAATATTATATCCCATACCGACCCAAAGATTTTAATTCTGAGAGGGGGTGAGGAAGCAATGTGGAAAGAACGCACAAACATGCTCTAAACCTTGTTTGATCTGTTTTATTGGTCATTTTAGATTAAGTCTTGGTGGTGAGGGTACATCATTTGAACAACAGGCCTCTACTGCTCTCCTGGACCTGATGGGAGATGAGGGTGACAAGTTAAACCAACACAAGAACATGATGAAATGGTAACACTCAATGAGTTAGCGAGTTTTGTTTTAGTGAGCTTCTTTTGTTGATTTAATTGTGGTGGGTACTTGAAGGGACCGCAAAAGGAAGCGTTTTATCAGAGACACTGGAAAAGAGGACAAAAAGAAGATCAAAACAGAAAGTGGACAAGTGATCAGCAAGAAAAGCAAGAAGAACTTGTATCCTTTAACCACATGAAATGTTCAACTCTTCAGAATAAAATAGATTAATATTTCTGCCTTACATTGATATCTTAACATTAATACTTAAGTTATGAAGAGTGGAAAAAGAAATACAAAGTTGATGACATTGGCTCTGACAATGAAACTGGAGGAATGAGGGGTCCAAGAGGTGAGAATCCCTGTTAACTGGATTTGAATTGACAATTACATTGAGGTTCAGGCTGACACTTTCATCATACTATGTTTAACAATTAAAGTTATACCATTAACTATAATGGCTAATAATAATGGGATGCTTAAAGAAGACATATTTTGCTGTGTAGGTGTATAATACATTTGTGCCTTAATATTATTTTTGATGTTTTAATATTGACATCATATGTTTACATAATACATAATATTGATGTTTTAACCATTGGCACTTTGCTGGACCATGTTGTCATGGAAAATGAGAATATTCAGATCAGTGGCGAATGTAGGAGAATAAAGTCAAACATGCATAGTCACTCTAAATCCAACTTTAAGCCATGTTTAAACACTGTACTGCTTTTTGAGTCAGTAAATTATTAAAAAAAAAATGTCATCAACTGAACTCATAGATTCTAATGTACTGATATGGCTTGCCTTTGTGTCAATCTCTTCCTCCAAGGTCGTGGTCATGGTCGCCATGGTCCAGCAGGTAAAAGTCCTGGAGGGCCACAGGAGACTGCTGGGGGCCGCAAAATCCGCTCAGAGCTGAAGACGAGTCAACAAATACTAAAGCAACGCAAGAAGAAGCAGAAACAACAGTTCCTGCAGAGTGGAGGGCTGAAGAAACTGCACTCCAAAAACAGACAGTTTGCCAGAGAAATGAAGAAATCAGGTTTTGGACGTGGAGGCATGAAAAAGGGCAAAATGAGAAAAAAACTATGAAAAGAGACAGCTATGTGTCAATGTCAGTGTACTCATTAACAATGAGTGACAACATGACAACATAAACATTTTATGACCATTGATTCCTGTGTTACGATCTAGAGTATTCTTGATATTAAATGTATAACAAACTAAGACACCATTGTTAAGAGTCTTCATTTTCTAGAATGCATCTGTGCACTGATTATGAAACTTTTTATGTTGGGCTGTGCAACAAACTTATTCTTTCTCATTTGATCATAATAATATATATTATATACCGTATTCTCCTGTTTATCCTCTGCAGAAAACCCTGAAAAGACCACGCAGCTGCAGCATCTGGGAAGGTGCAAAACACGAACACATGGACAATAGTCCACTACACCAATCACAGTGCAGAGAAGAAACGTCTCTATGCATCTGGAGCTGGTTAGAGAGTTAACTTTGTCTGATAGGGCTTTATTTATGACATACATGTTTTTACTAGTTACTACCTTCATTCTAACCTGTACTAAGCTTTTTGTTCATTGGAAGTCTTATCAGTTTGAATTCCAGAACATGCGTTCATTCAAGCATACTATTGATATAGTCTAAACTGGTATAGCATTCTATGTTAATTAATTTTAACCTTCCAGTTGCACTATCACAGTGTATCATAGTGTTTGCCAACACCACTACTTGGCACTGAACAACACAAGCCAACATAAATATAGCTGGTGAGTTCACCTTTATAGTGACATTATTATAGGACAGAATTTTGAGTCTTCATTTTTGGGGGGGGTTTTCAGCAGTGTACAAAAGCAATTTATATGTACATACCCAGAAATGTATGGAAGGTATGTAAAACTACAACTCCCCATGAACTTAAAAAATCAAAGGCAACAAAAAATCACAACTTGTATGTATAATTCACACAGCTTGACAAGCTTCAAAAAGTGCTACAGTAGCACACTATTGGATCACTTCCCACACTCTGTTGTGCAAAGCTTCTTCCATACCAAAGCTACTCAAGACCAATCTTAAGACCAATATATAACCAAAGTTAATCTTGGGGCCTAACCTTTATCTCTTCCTCTTGCTCACTCCCTGCTACTATCTCTCTGCCATGTCTTTGTCCCTGTCCCCTCTAGAACTCCTGCTGCTCAGGAGGTTTATCTACATGTAAGAGTTCCCAGGACTGACACTATATCCACTCTAGATATGGCAAGAGGCTAAGCACCTGACTTCAGCTTTTGGTGGTATGAGGTTGCTTTTCTATTTGAATACATTAATTCAGTCAGTGCCTACACACTATGGAATAGAAACATATCTACTTTTTAAATTGCTGGCAAGACTATTATTGCTGATAATAGTTCATTCTAATAGTGTATGGATCTATTCTCAAGAAGATTACCAGGGTACTAAATCATATTCAAAATATCATGGTTAAGGCTCAAAATATTGTAGTGCAAAAATACTTTATGACAATACTTGTGTATTTCCATTTTCCTGTAATAATCTGAAATGCTTGCACATGTGAGCTGCTTTGGTTAGTTGCTGTTGTCCCTGCAGTCTGGCTCTCCTCTGTCTCTTCTTGGTGTATTTGCCCAAAGATAAGATTACTGCCCTTTCTCAGGCTATCACTTGGAAGGCAAAAGGCCACTTGAGGAATGACAGGGCTAACATGACTGACATTAGGCCTGCCAGCCAGAGACTCTTTCTGCTTAGAATATCCAAGGCAAAATCTGATGACATTTTAGAAGTGAATGGTTTTAATTGGAGTGTTTTGCTGTTGCTGTTTGATAATGCCAATAATATGAAATGTGGATTGGGTGGAGCTGAGACATTGGGTCATTGGCTGGTGAAATGGGTTATTGTCATCAAGTAATTACAGTGTTGTGGTTCTGTTTTTGAAACAAGCTGTTCTTGTGCAACAAACTGTCTTGCAGATGTTTAAACCTTAAATTAGCTAAATCACAAGCACAACTGTGGAGTGACAGTGCCAACAATGCCGTAAAGAGACAAAGGAAAACTTTTTTGCCCATTGTTATAGCAATATAATTGACTTGAGTTGGAATTAATAATAAAAAAAAAAAGTAATAATAAATATACATAAATCTAATCTGTCCAAATTTTCATGTTAAACAAACTAATGGTATATTAACAACAAAAATTACAACTACAACAATCATAATTTTAACATTAAGTCTGACAATGTCTGAATGAGAATTTATGAAATGTCCAAAGAGTCACTGGCCTGAAACTTTTTGGCACAGATCCACCAGCTCATAGGATTGAGATTTGGAAGTGGTTATTTTGGGGCATCCTAGGTGCTGTGACTCTGCCTGAAAGCCCTTATAAAGAGGTGCTCCTTGGGTGAGGGGAAAGTTATCAGCTTGTGATTGCTGAGTGAGGTCAACTCATTTGCATGTAGTCAAGCTATCTTGGAGCTCAGTTGTAACATGAGTGTCCTTAACATTTGAATTCCCTATGTTATACAAGTATTAGTCATTTGATGTCACAGTGTATTTCTATTATTTATTATTTATCTATTAATTATCTTGCGCAGTCAGCTATAGTAATTAATTTCCTGATATTGACACTCAAATGCTGGTTCAATTTTGTCTTGATCTACACCCCAGATATCTTTCCATTCTTTTGTAGTGCCTTTCTCTTCTTCACTTTAGTGAGGAATGTTTTCCCAGACTCTCTCCTCTCCGTGTGTGAGCACTTGTCTGACTGTGGTCACTCACTTCATTTGTCTTCCCCCGGATCAGAGGAGCACAGAAAATCCAAATAATCATTGGCCATCGAAGCAGATGAAAAAAACCCGGATAACAAGAGGACAAAGAGCCGTGAGACAAAGCACAAAAAATTGTCAAAATACAAATGATAATTTTTGTTTGTTTGCTTTTTAAAACCTAAGCGCATCAAATTCCTTTAAGGATTTGACAATCTTAAGTCTGATGGTCTGATGTCACACTTCCTGCACTTGGGAAACTCACCAAAAGATGGAGCTGTTGTCGTTGCCCAAGGTTGGATAATGCATTTCTGATGTTCGATTCTTATGTTGGTTTTAGGTTGCAGCTGTACTGGCATGGGTTTTTCAACAACATATTCCCTTCTTTCCATAGTGTGTTTTCTGTGCTCCATCCATGAATATGCATCCTTTGGGTAAAAACAAAATAATTTTTAAGCTTAAGACTACTGAGATGTGTGATTTTTTTTAGTAGTGAGAAAAATGTCAGAAAGGCAGAGCAATACAGGTACACTGTACTCTAAAGGCACACATCTGGTGTGTTGATTAATGTAGATGTGAAAAACACTATGATCTATGATTATATTTAGGTGACTGCCAATGTGGAGGAAAGATATAGTAACATTTTAAATAAGAAGTATTTGTGGTTGTGATTGGCTAAAGACCAAGCAACCCTAATGTTTCCATGCTTCCTCCCTCAGCACTAGACCTAGGATGGCACGCAAGGCCCTGACCACCACCGCAACATGGCGCCAAGGGGGTACTGATCACAGGTCAGCCGCTTTTGGAGGCCGCAGACCCCGGATATGTTGCCCAAGTGTGCAGTGGACAAGGGCCAGACAGGACGTGACCTTCTAGAGGAAGCTTGGCCAGCCTTATGGGCCAAGTAGACATCCATCAACACCCTTGTCCCACCCACAGCCCGCCACTTCAAATGCACAGAATTAGACAAGCAGCCAGGAACGTCAATTTATTGTAAGTGATCAAACTCAATAATAACAAACAACCAACAAAAATACTTTAGGACATTCATTCATGAGCACTGAATTAAATCTGTGTGTTGATCATATGTTTCAAAATAAACATGGAGTAGGTTATTTTAAGTAGCAAACAAATAAATGTGTAACTCCATCTCGATATATATTCTCTTTGATTCATGCATATTCCCCATATCTCCCCATTTTAGTTTATTGAAGTGACACAGTAATTGCATTACTGATAATATGGATGTATGATTGGCCAACTCTAATCTATAGATCCAGGCCTTTACATGTTGAAAACTATAATGTGTGTCATGACCTTTCATTAAATGTGTTCCTTTTCCAAACACAGTTATAGATTTGAACCTCACTGTAATTTTGAAAGAACACTTGTAATTCAAAGTAGCAGCAGATCAAAGCAGGCCCTCCTCTGCAGCCTGTCCATGTGTCCACTCTCTTTAGGGACAAACTGCTCAGAGGTCAGGCCTGAGTTCCGCTCAGGGTCGAGGCCAAGAGAGTCCACTGACCCTGGACTGTAGCCACTGCTTTACAAAGTGTTTCTCTGGCTGTACGGTCTCTAAACCAAACTCATAGTTCATTCACATTCTGACATTTGTTATCAGCCACCAAAGTGTAGAATACCTTTATAGTTTATAGCAATAACAATTTAGAAGTGTTTTAATGAGTTGTGTGTTAATCACCAATAAATCTGGAGGAAATAAAGTTTTGTTTTATTTTTTGTTGTAAGCCTATAAGTTATCCATGCACTGCCTTTAAAGGACATTTAACATTAACTTTTTCTTTTTCCTCTTCTTTTGAGTGAGGCTGTGTGTGTGTGTGTGTGTGTTTGCTGTTGTAATGATGACCAAAAGTCAGTTTAGACTAATTTAACGTTTCTGTTAAATATAATGCCTTAACAAAACAGATGCTGAGTGATATTAGTCCATGACTATGATATCAAAGTCAAGGAGCTATTAAACAAAGCTGTAAGTGATTCCTTAAGTGAAGTGAACTTGCCGATAAGCCGAGTGACTGCTGGAAAAACGCTGATGAGGGCGCAGCTATCTGGGCCTTAAGTTCTTTAGTTTTCTCCAGTGACTGAGCGCAGGACACAAACTTCTCTTTGGTCCAGAAAAGATACAAAATGTTACCGTTTACAGCAGGCAAAATTAACTTTTAATGTAAAGGCTTAAAATTGTAAATACTGAAATACTAACTCTTATTTTCATCTTGCTTCCTCAGTGGCTGTGGTCAAAGCACTGTGCAGTGACTCCGGAGGGTAGAGTGGACGTGGCTCATCTCTTACAGGTAATCAAGCATCATTCTTTCATGAGGCTGTGAGTGTTCTAGACGCACGGGAGAATGCACTGTGTACGGCTCCGCTGCCGCCTCTCCCCGCAATACATCCTGCTACACATCGGAGACATGACAAGCGCTCTCC